AGTTTGAATGGATGCCCAAGTGCGAGCAAAGCTTCTAGGAATTGAAATAGAAGCTTACCACAACTCCTGTGCTAGCATTGCCTGATATCAGTAAAGATTTCATGGTCTACTGTGATGCATCCTGTCAAGGACTTGGCTGTGTATTGATGCAAGGTGGGAAAGTGATAGCTTATGCTTCTCGACAGTTGAAAGAACACGAGAACCATTACCCTACTCATGATCTTGAGTTAGCAGCAGTTGTGCATGCCTTGAAGATCTGGAGGCACTACTTGATAGGCAACAAGTGTGATATCTACGCCGATCACAAGAGCTTGAAGTACTTTTTCACTCAAGAAGATTTGAATATGAGGCAACGCCGTTGGCTAGAGTTGATTAAAGACTATGACCTAGAAATTCACTATCATCCGAGAAAAGCTAATGTAGTCGCAGATGCTCCTAGTCGCAAGAGTTACTGTCACACTCAGATCATAGAATACGTACCACCTGAACTCAAGGAAGAGATTGATGATTTTCAACTTGAGATGCTACCGCATGGCTTGTTGAATGAGCTCTGCATATAGTATGATCTCACAGATCGCATTCGTCAAGCTCAAAAAAATTGTGAAGAGATCGAATATCTCTGTGGTCTGATGAAACTAGGCTACAAGACCAACAACCATGAAGATGAACAAGGAACCATCTAGTTCAAGGACAGAATCTGTGTACCTTCTGATCCAGCACTACGAGAACACGTTGCAGCACGCACACGAGCATGCACGCGAGCATGCACGGGCGCGCACACCGCAGCCATGAACACGGCCGTGGCGAGACCATCATGGCCGCATTACCACGGTAGAGGTGACGCCACCACCTTGGCTGGCTCTTCCTCGCCGAGGAACATGCCACGCTCGCGATCGAGGTAGACGAAGGCCACCGGAGGGCCCCCATTGACCACACCGCGCTGCGGCCGGAGCGTCGCCGCAACCACTTTGACTCCACCATGGCCAGGACCGCTGGGAGCGCTTGGCGCCTCCTTGTCTCACCCGCCCTATTCACTGGAGCCACGGGAGGCTCACGCGCCCCGCCAAGCATGCTCCCAGCCACCACATCGCCCTGCCGCCGTCGACACACCACAGCCAAACCTCCGCCGCCGTAGCCAGCCCCATGGGGAACCCTACTCATTGCTTCGACCTCACCATCATGTTTGCCATAGCGGGGCGATGCTTTTACCCACCTAAATTGAACACCAGCGCCGCGGGTGAGGCTCGCCGGTGACCTCACCGCCGGCGGGAGCCTCGTCGGGGAAGAGAAGGGGATTTTCCCCTCGCCGGCCACACGTCCATGCACTTGGTGCACGTGAACCGAACCCTGGGAAGGAGTAAGTGGACCAAGTCCTTCATAAACCGGCTCTGCAGTCTATGGACCAACGCAGGTGGGTTCACCATGAACCGCGCCTCACCTGCGCCCATGGACCACGGCCCGTTGGTGGCCTAGTAAGATGACGTGGCTGCGCCACAGCATGCCACGTGGCGAGCCAAAGCCCAGCCCATATCCAGGCCCAACAGGCCCAGTTTGGACCCAGCCTGAACTGACCGTTGACCGGGACCCACCTGTCAGCCGCGGTTTAGCTCTGATGACGCCATGCTAACGTCATGCCGATGATGTGACCACGCCAGCGTCGGGGACCTCGGCGATCTCTCCGACCTCCTCGGCGAGCTCTCCGACCACTTCGGTGACCTCTCCGACCACCTCACCAGCTGATACACCACTCCAAGTCCCTACATGCCATGTGAACCAGTCACAGTGTGACACATGTCAGCCCTGAATTAATCAGCCTTAATTATTTTCAGAAATGGATTTAATCTTCGGAAATTCATAACTAATTCATACGAACTCAGAAAAATACAAGACCAGGACCAAAATTCATCTATAATCGAGCTCTACGTAATGAACCCATGTTTGAGTGCATTTGGCTCTTTTGAATTTACATTGCTTTTTGTGCTATTCTATAGACATCGCTAACGTGACTATAATGCGATCGTTTGCAGACTCGGATGAGAACCAGACGGACGAGGGCTGAGAGTACCGTGAGGAGTACGGAGACGACTTCACTGAAGGTGCCACATCCCACCTAACCTCGTAGCACCTATTACGCATGGCTAATATAGAACTGCTATTGCTTTACTTTATTGTTATATTCACACTATGATAGGACTTGCATGGTAGCATGCTTATTTGATGGCCTTTACCTTGATGCAACCTTACCCCTGCTTACCCTGCTATTAGGCTAGACACACGCTTGCTGCTATATTTCATTGCTTATTACTTCTACTACGCTTGTACTATATTGATGCGTGGTGGAAACTGGTGTTATCTGGACTATGGGGAGAGTGCTACGTGTGTGACTTGGGTGCGTGGAGGGTGAGGGTTGTGTCGACTAAGTTGGAATATACGACGAGCCTGGGGCAAGTCTTGCCGCGGGGTGCTACCTGGGCACCCCTGGAAATGGATACCTGTGGTGGGTAAATGGTATATGAGGTGGCCCTGGATGTGAACCTGTGATGAGAGGAGCCCGGAGTGGAGGTGTTGTGGTGGCACGGTAAATGGAAACCCTGATGAAGACATTCTGGCTTGGTCATCTCTAAGGACTTACTAGTACTCAGATTCACCAGAAAGCCTTACGTACCACTCGCCCTATATGGTGCGGGACGGCCGGACTACTTGGTAGGATATTGCCACTACTGCTAGGTTGATAGCGGACAGTGCGAGGAGGTACGGGCGTGGAGGTTTCCCCCCACACCCTTCTGAGACTTCATGGAGACCTTGTGGACCCGGCTCATGACTCATAGTTTTAGCCACCCCAGACTAGACTTGGGGTGTACCAGGGCTGAATGGTAGGGTGGCATTATCCTAGGGTAGCAAGCGGCCAGAATCAGCCCAGTTGACGACGGTCAGCGAGGAAGGCGGATCTTGTGGTTATGTAAAACCTCTGCAGAGTGTATGGTTGATCGATCGATACATATGCCGACTTGTCGGCTATGGACCTTTCCTGGGTTTCGCTTAAACTAGATAGTGAGATGAGTCCTTCTCTTCTTCCCCGTGAGAGAGTGTCGGTCGTAGCTGGGGATACGGGCCATGAGATGATCTTAGAGAGGAGTTGGCTGTCGGCCGAAGCGATGGTATGGTGGTGATGAGGTGATGATGTGGAGATGGTGGTATATCGATCCCAGGATCGAAACCTGGCTCTGGACGGAAATGGGGTGGAATGGGTGTGGGAATGGTGTTAAAACTTGACCAACTATTAATATATATATACTTGATATGCTAAAACATAGGAAACCCCAGCCTTATAGGTTCCTTTTGATTATATCCAACTTGCATCCAATTTCCACAAAGCAATGCTCATAGGGTGGGAGTGGCCAGTACGAATCGTACTGATAAATTTTGGCACATAGGTTCTGCTGAGGAGTATAGCTCTGAGGAGTTTGACGGTTGAGGGGTTCGATCCTACGCTCGAGTTTGGCGATCTTGTTTTCAAGCTGTTCTGAATGAATGCTACTTTTGATTCCGTCAATGCGGCGATGTAATAATTTATGTAATTCCGCACTATTTGTACTCTGATATTATCGTTGTATGGATGTGGTATTCGACTGGAATTTGGGTAATATGATCTACAACGGTCATAATACACTTCGACTCTGTGGATTTCCCTTCGCGAAAATCAGGTCGTTTCAGACTTCACCGCCGATCCGTGCGGGTTCCCCGGCGTGTTTTATGAGGGACGGGTGGTGGCGCTTCGGCTTCAGCGATTCCCGGGCGGGGTCTCCGGGGTTGACGGGGCGGCTGGACCAAGCGCTGGGCTGGCTGTCCGCGCTCACCGAGCTCTCGCTCGTGCCCGGGTGCGTCGAGGGGGAGCTCCCGGCGTCGCTTGCGTCGTGGTCGGATCTCCGCTTCCTGGAGGTCATAAAGAACCTCCTCTAGGCTCGGAGTCCTGCTGCGCGGCAGGCTCGGAGGCGCAAACGGTTGTCCGAGCCTGAGGCTCCTCGCTCTCCGCCCGCGCCGCCTCCGCCTACGTGGACAGCTACATCGACTGCTTGACACCGCCTGGGCTGTTTGGAACCTACATGGACCGAATTAAGTATATTGGGGAGCCAAGAGTGCGATTTCATAGTTTGGGACCCAGACGAAATCAGCCCAATACTTTAAGGACCAGCCGTGCAATTTACTCTTATTTATACGTGGATGCACAATTTCCCGATTTAGATGAATCATGGTTTACCTGAAATTAAATCATTAAAATGCATTGATAAGTTGCTTTTTTAACTATGTGTACACTAATAATATATATCATGCCAAAGATGTGGTACCTATTCGACGCGTATAAAATCATTGTGGCAAAGGCAACAAAACAAATTACATATAAGAAATAAAAAATAGACAAAATTGTTATCTCTTGTCATAACTTTAAAAATCCTGTCACATGGCTGCCTCGGTGGCAAGGTGTGGAGTATCATTTCCTCAAAAAAAAAAGGTGTGGAGTATCATACTTCACTCATATGACTTATTAGCTTTAGGGAAAATGACACGAGACAATGATTTGTACGGCAATAAATTTCTTGGAGCAGTTGCATTGGTATTGCTCGAAAGTCGAAATTGAAGTTCAGTGTTTGTGTCTAACGAGAAACCAACAAAAGATACCAAGAGATCGAATGAATTGCATTGGTATTGCTCGAAAGTCGAAATTGAAGTTCAGTGTTTGTGTCTAACGAGAAACCAACAAAAGATAGCAAGAGATCGAATGAAGAAACTCTCTCTACCATTTCAAGCTTATTATTACACGAAGCGCTCTAAAACTGATCAATGCAAGCGGCTAGGGATAAGCAGTTGATGATTCTAAACTGAAGCTAATAAACTAAAGACACACCCAAAGATGTTATTATTTCTAGATGAGGGTAGACGTGACCGAGATTGATGGGAGCTATCTAGGCGGCAGCAGCAGCACTGTTCCATCAGCGAATGGATTAATTTGAAGCAGGCGCGAAGAAGATCTCTGAGTCAAGCCTCTTGGAACGGAACAGCTTCTCCATCTCCGGCGTGGTGTTGAACGACGCCTCCAGAACCGCAGGAGATATTGCCTTCCACACCGATGTCCTGCCCGCCAAGTGGCTAAAGATTGGGCTGCAATATATATAATGCAAACACACAAATTAACACAATTGTATGTAATGTAATGTATATATATATACATTTCATTCATGTGGTACGTAGTTCTTACTTGGGGGTGGTGATGATGGAGAACCACTCCATGCCAGTTTCGTCGGCGATCTTAGAGACAACGAAGAACCTGGGCACGATGAAGAGGCAGCCTCCCTCGGCGCGGGTCTCCAGCACCCGCGTGCCGTCGATCCCAACAACCTGGACGCGGCCACTGCCGCGCACGATGTAGGTGACCTGGTACGCGGAGTCGCAGGAGAACCCGGGCGAGCACATGGAGTGCGCGTCGATCCTGACGAGGTCGGCGCCGAGCCCGACCTCCTCCACGAGCGGCAGGTTCCGGGTGTTGAGGACCACGACGCGGCCTCCGTTCTTGATGTCGACGTCGAGCGGCGCCTCCAGGCAGTTGAGGACCAAGCCCGCCCTGTCCTCGTCGCGGGCCTGGGGCATCCTGTGGTCGTCCTTGACCCTGATGATGCCGGCGCCGGGCTGGGCGGAGACGAGCTCGGCGGCGGCGGCCTGGGTGAGGTCCCATGCGCGGGCGACGAACTCGGTGGACAGGCCCGTGAAGATGCCCGTGGAGCCGGTGAGCTGGAAGTTGGTGAACTGGCCCCGCTTGTGGCCCGTGGACGTGTCACCGAGGAAGAGGACCACGAGGTCACCAGGTGACGACGCCGAAAGGGAGCGCGAGCGAGTCACCCTCCTTCACGGGGATCACCTTCTCCTTGGTCGCCTCCGGCAGAACCACGCCGCACGTACCCTTACCTGCATTGCATGGGAGTCTGATGAGTTGGTTAACTAACTGAGGATCATCCAACAATCGATCAAGATGCCACGCATACATATGACATATGGAGATAGATCGATTTATTAGTAGGATTAAAAACAAGGTAAGAAACAGAAAATGTATGTATGTACTTGCCTTGGAGGACGTAGGCGACCTTGGCAGAGTCGGAGTAGCTGGGCAGGGCAAGGCCTCCGGCGGAGAGGCAGAGCTTGGCGGCGCCAATGGAGGCAGCGCCGAGCATGGGCAGGTCGGCGGGGGACCAGTCGTAGTAGGCACCGCCGTCGCCGCCGTAGGCCTTGTTGGGTTTCTTTGGGCTGAGGTCCACGGACATCACTTCGGCGGTGGAAGTCCGCTGCACCATGTTGATCTATCTGGCTATCGCTGGGTATGGATGGACGCGGTGTGACTGCTGAAGACAAATGCACAGTAATGACGGCTAGGGTGCAGGCATATACCGCTATTTATAGCTCATGGTGACCTTGTCGCGCGCATGATAAGGATCCAGCGTCGTTATCCTTGTACGTAATTATTAAACTAATGACCTTATCCCCTCTCGATCTATTCTCGCTCGTTGGATAATGCTTATCTTCTTCCTTCTCGGCCTATAAACTTGCCAGATCAGTTACGTTTCTTACGTCGATGTATAGAGGTTAAAATATTTCTAATGATCCGAATTTACCTGCAGTCTCATCGGAAGACGATTCCGTTCGTGGGCAGCACGGTGGAAATCGCCGAGTGGACACATCAATCCCGCAACGGCGACGGCGGCAGCATGACGATATATGAACAGAAAATAAAACCTTAATAAATCTTTATTTTTCAGTCTTATATATAGCTATAGATACAATTTGTTAGCAAATAATACAAATAAAGATCGAACACGAGATACTGATTTTTACGTAAAAAAACTCTTGCGCAAGAAGACTACAAGCGCCAACCGTACCGGTAATCTTTACTACATGATGTATTGATAGGCTGAACTGAGTGCAGTCAAATTCGAAAACAAACCCGGTAATTAACATAATCCCAACCATGGGCCCCTTGGCCGTCTCGGTAAGACTCATGTTAGAATTCAGATCATGCTCCAACATCTACTCGGTGGCTATTTACCTTTCAACTCAGAAAATGTAGCGAAACTACACCAACAAACTATTGTAAGAACATTTCCAATGTTTTTGAACTACAATGCATATGTCGATGGTAGTTTGAGAAACTAGATTGTACTCACTCTGCCTAGAAATGATAAGCGTATTTGAACAGAGAAAAAGCTAGATCTTATAATTTTTTACCAACAATTAGTCATATTATATTCACATAAAACTTGCATCAATAGATTTATATTCCAAGTGACTATGAGATGATATTGTTTTTTAGCAATTGAGTACAGATTATATGAGAAATTAAGGGTCAAATTAAATTTTATTTTGTATGAGTTTTTCTATGGTTAAATATGCTTCGGACGAAGAGAGTATATCACTAATTAACTGCCTCTTAGATTTTAGGCCAATCGAGTGGGCTTCTTATTTCCTCGATACCATCACTCTGAAAATTGTTTTCTCCATGCCATAATGCCATTGCTGCCACAAGTCCATCCATTCAAACTCCCTATGCTAGCTGGCCACGTAGACGCTGGCTTGCGCTGTTCCACATGCTTGACTCGCTGCTGTCTATTCAATATTTCAATGAGACGAAAAATTTGCTGCTTGTGCTACTGAAATTTTGTATAATCACTAATGTCTGCCAGTCTATCAGTATATTATATATTGGGAAGAAATCGGGATGTCATGGGAGTGATGCATTACTTTACTCTAGGCAATGACAGGACTTTTTTTTCGCGACAGAAGAATATAGCCCGTTTATCATTAAGACGAAGAGAATTACACGATACAGCTACAAAAGAACCCTCGTAGCATAGATTACAAAGCACCAAGTAAGTGGTTAATAATCTGGAATACAACTTATCAGAACAACAAAAAGAAGAGAAAAGAAAGAGCGACTGCCCTCAAAACCTGAAACCTACCAACTGAGCCTGCAAAAAAGATATAACGACGCAATGGTCGCCTACAAATAAGACAACGCCATGGTGGCAAAGGATCCGCCAGCAACGACGACACCCACTGCGGCAAAGCATCCGCACGGAATGACCATGACACACTCGACCGCAGACATCTGCCAAAGCGGAGAACAACGACGACAATGGCGGCAAAGTATCCACCAGAGGAAACGATAGTGGCAAAGCATCCGTTATGAGAGCCAAACGATGACGGTAAGGTCGATTGCTACAGGACGAACCATTGTGAGTAGAATATGGGCACATACAGGCTCAGCGAGGGACTCCACCAGAAGCCGACGGCCAGGGAGGGGGTGCAGGTGTCAGTAACCACATGGGGGGGAGTCCGAGGGATTCTACAACGACGCCTTCAAGAAGGAGTTGACGTCCAGGGTGATATTGGATGCCATCGACACTGGCCTTACAACTTCTAAGGCGGGATTTACTCCTAGTATCCAACGCCATCGGCCAGAAGTGCATCCCGACGACGGTAACACGGCCATGTCGGTGCACGCGCAAGCGCTGTTGGCCCCACCGTGCAGTGGCCAAGGACGACGCAACGATCGTGGATCCACGGCCATGGCCGACCATAGCAGGCCAGCCGGACCACCGCCACGGTCGCCGGACCGCCACTAGCCAATGGGCGGGCGCGGCCACCACCACCGGCTAGCGAGCGGGCGCGGCCGTCGAAATCAGCCACCACCGGCCAGCGGGCGACGTGGCCGCTGGAGCTGCCAGGGGGCGGGCTGTGCCACCGGATCTGGCCGCCACCGGCTAGGGGATGGGCACGGCCGCCAGATCGGGCCGCCAACGGCCGAGGGGGCGGGCGTGGCCACCGGATCTGGCTGGCACTGGCCCGGGGCGGGCACGGCCACCGAATCCAACCACCACCGACCAGTGGGAGGGCCCGGCCACCAGATCCAGCTGCCATGAAGCAGCACCGCCAAAGGTGCTGGCAGATCAACCCCTAGGAGCAGCGCCGGCTGAGGGGGAGCTCGGGAAGGGCGAGGGGTGGGGGGAAGAGAGGGGAGGAAGGTGCATCCGCTACCTTTTTTAGCAGCGCCACCGCGGCCCACCGTCACCGCAAGCTGAAGGAGCGGCGACGGTGGCCGGAGGGCCGGCCCCTAGGGGCCCCGAGGGGGCGACGGCGGGAGGCCCCCTGAGTCACCTAAGAGGCGACGCGAGGGCAAGGAGGCGACCGGCAACGACAGGACTTGGGTGGGCATATGCCAACAGTGACATGGATTGAACATAGATTAAAACTTGCCACCATGAATCAGTGAAAGGGGATAAAAATTAAGTCACTAGGTGGCATGTTCTAATCTAAGTTCAATACATGTGAGTTTACATTTCTAGTAGACAGGAAGCTAAGGCTACGAGGGACATTATCAACCACTTCTACATGGAATCTGGTCAAACTCCCAACCTCAAAAAATCCTTTATCCTCTATAGCAAAATGTAGATAGACCCACCAAGGATGCTATCAAAAACATTTTTCCTGTTTAGGACCTTGCTCCGAATACTAAACATCTTGGCCATCCTCTCCTCTTCTCTCACATGACAAGACCAGGGCGTATGAGTTCATTATCAACAAACTTAGAGCCAAACTCACCACAATGAAAGCCAACAAGCTTAACCATGTTGGACGCTCACCTACATCCACTATGTTCTTGCCTCCATCTCTATCTACTATATGTGTCCACTATCCTTCTTTCCAATACTTTTGTGGAAAAAAATCAATTCTATCATTCGACCCTTTTGGTGGGCGGGTGTCCAAAGTGAAGACCCAAGCTCTACCATAGCCTATCATCCTAGAATGACATGTCAAAAGAAGCACAACTGGGGCCTTGGAATTAGAGATCTTCACACTATTAGCAAAAGCCTCATTCTAACTGTTGCTTGGAATATTGCTATTGCTAAAAACCAATTCCTTAACGACATTCTAAAAGCTAAATATTTCCCCTATAACTCTTTCTAGATTTATCCCTCTCGTGGACCATCCATTCTTCAGGTTAAACCTCCTTCATGAACAATGCATTCTCCAATCCACAAAGGTAACTCTTTCATCTGGTCCAACCCTTTGTTCTCTCTCTAGTATAACATCCATGACCACCTAAAAATCTCTACGAACCATAGGCCTATGCATGTAATGTTGCTCATCTATGGAGCAATCACACTCAAAACTAGAACTCTGCTATAATTACTAATCTTTTTAGCCAGCAAGTGCAATAGACCATCTTGAAGGTACCTGAAAGGTCCTTGTTTGGTTTTGGTTATTGAGTGACAACCTAGATGGACTAATTGTGTTTAATGTGAGATACACAGGTGATTAGTCCATAGGTACACTTATGTGAGCAACTCATGCCATGATGGTGAAGATGGTTTGGATTTGTTGCAAGGCTCATACATGTGATGAAGGAGCTATTGCATATGAGACATGACATTGAGTCATGTGACTAAGGTGGAGAAGATCAACACAAGACTTGGCTTGATGGACCGGTTGCAAGCGTGAAGGGCAAGTTGGAGGCTTTGGAGCGATGGACCGCGTGGCGGTGAAGCTTGAGCAAAACTTGGCTCCAATGGACGAAGGCAACGGTAAAAAGCGAGTGAGGTCAAGATCGATGAACCAACAAGGCCACGTGATGATATAAAGCGGATCATATCATTTGTGATAAGTTGGTGCATGTGTTGCATCGATATTGGAGGAGATGGAATGGAAGGCGCAAGTCAAAAGTATAACCTATAGGGCATTTCATTTCATCGGTCATAGGTGTGTACAGAAGTTTATGACCTAGTTTTAGATAGATGGTCGTACTATCAAGAGGGGCAAACTTGTTTGCATATCGATCATCTAGTGCCACTTTAGTGATCTACATTGCAATATGCTAGGATCGAGTGGCATGGAAAGATCAAGTGAAAATCCTTTGAAAAATATTTATGAAAATGCTAACACACATGCACATGGTGTTGTACACTTGGTGGTGTTGACACATTTGCAAAGGAGAAGAAGTTTGAGTTGAAAAGGAGGATTTCAGGCGTGACCGGACGCTGCAACATGGATCGGACGCTAGTGCAACATGCGTCCGATGCTAATGCAACTTTGACCGAATGCTAATGCAACATGCGACCGGACGTGCCTGGTGCATGCGGTTAGGGAGTGATCGGACGCTATGAGAGTTCGGTCAGTGGTGACTAGACGTGTTCGGTCGCCAAAAATCATCTCTAGAACCTTTTTGTTCGCGATCAAACTCACGGGATGCCGTGTCCAGTCATTCGAATAGGTGTGTCCGGTCATTCGAACAGGTAAAGCA